ATTATACCATGACACATACCCATTATACCATGACACATACCCAGTATAAAACAAGACATGCTCACCATTATATATTGTAAAATGTGGAATTTTCAAGGAGGCAAGAATTTTATGCTACCAATATAAAGACAAAATTGAATGTCGCTCTGAGATAAAAATGTCACTGCTCAAATATGTTGTTATACCAAAAATACCACAAATAATACAACCAATACATGCATTTTGCATGAAATTAGAAACACAGTTGGCATAGAGTTTGACCACAATTCATTTTTGAATGGCCTACTGGTATATAATTAAATTGTGTAGAATGCCAGTTCTCTCTTTTCATCACAAATTCACAAAATAGTCTTGTTTATAGTCTGCAATTTCCTTCAGAAGATTTGGACAAAAATAGCCAAATTTGTTTTAGTAAAAACGGAAAATTTACTCATATTTTGTCTGTTGGCTCCAAAATCATTTTCATTTTCATTTTCAGAAATATTGTAAAATAAAATAAAAAAAGCACGAAAAAAATTTTGAATGAGAAAGTCAGGTGGTGAAAATGTTAATGATTCAATTGTTAAAATAATGTAAAACCTGATCATACTTACACGCATTTTTTTCTTATCTGCTTGGAAATTTTGCTCCATCTTTGATTTTTCAGCTGAGACAGTTGCTAAGGCATTTGTGATTGTTGATAACTGTAGACTATTGGTATTTTTGTTTTCAGAGCTGGCAGATGAAGCCTACAAAACATACGTCCATGTAAGTGAATACAGACAGTGTGTTTTCATGTTTGTTATTGAAATTTTTAATTAACAAAACCTTAAAGTGTCACCCACATCACGCCATACCAATCAATATGGGTTTTATGTAATCATGTAAGACACATTGTTTGTTTATATAAAACTTTGAACTTTTAAATAAAATATGAAGTCATTCTTATAGATATACCCGTGAATTGTAATTTTTTGCATACATGTATTATTTGAATAACTTTGACATAAAATGCTGCCACTGCTTCACTACTATACTGTAAAGTACTTCATTTTAGCTGGATTTAATTTTTGCAGTTTGGGTGTATTGTATGGAATTTATTTTTGATGAGTTGAATGTAAAATATAAGAAAAAGTGTATATTTGCTGGATTTAATTTTCACTGAATCATCCCTAAATGACAATAGATAAATTCAATTAAAAACAAGTATTTTACAGTACGGTATGTTAAAATGTGCACAATGAAAAATTGTAATCAATATTGTTTATTAAAATAAAACATTAATATATATTATTGTATCATTTTATGTATATGTATGTGGGATATTTGAACGTTCCAATCTAATATGTATTGTATGATGGCACAGTTAAATGTGTCTCACATATATGTACATACATGTGGACACTATTATTTAAGTACCTGTGCATCAGCTTGTAAGGGATCATCACATTTGTTGTCATCATCCTCACTACCGTTGTTCTCATCTTCATTTTCTTTAACAACATTGATGGTTTCTTGTCTTTGTTTTTGACTCAGTATTTGTACACTGGCTTCTAGAGCTTCTTTCTCCGTACAGAGACTTTTGTAAGCATATACCACATCTAAAGTAAAAAAAAAAAAAATGTTTTAAGAGAGTCATAGTAAAATGAGATTATGGTTATTCTACCATAAAAAAAACAAAGTGTACCAGCAGTTTGCTTTCACAATCTGATGTAGTATACAGCGAGTACTGTAAAATGACTAATTTTCACTGGGTTTAAATTTCACTGATTTACCATTTCAGGCATATTCAGTGGGTTTTAAATTCACGGTTTCGTCATTTAGATAATGTGTTCTATGCTAAATTTTACATATTCACTGGATTTTAATTTAGCGCATTTTCCAGTCAGTGAAATAAGCTAAATTAAAACCCAGTGAATAATTACCCCTTTTACAGTATTTTAGTTTATGGCAAACTTATGCCAATGCTTGGATAATGACTAAATAGTCTACAAATTATGTAGCATTATGAGGCATTCTGATTGACTATTTATTGGAAAAAATATAATAAAATAGAATACATCAAATCTACAAAATGGGGATGGGATGGGATGTTAAATTGTTAAAACTAAAATAGCCGCCATTCAGCCATCTTGAAACAGCTCATGAAACAAATAGATGTGTATATGTATCCCAAGATACACATATAGGATGTATGTGTATGAAGTTTGAATGCGATTGGCTGAAGCATGTCCAAGATACAGGTCTAGACAGTCGCACAGACAGACAGAGGTCAATATGTAAGTCAAACCGTACTAAACCCATTTCTTTCAATGACAGTCTGATAAGCAGTGACACAGTTACAGTGAAGCAATCAG